GCCCTCCCCCGGACCCCCTCCCCGACCCTGCCGGGGGCGTGCCCCTGCGGGGCTTGGCCCTCTAGACGTATGCTCGAGACGGGCGTACTTCGGGGTGTTGCGGCTCTATCTTAGGCCGGGGGGGATTGGGAATTGTCGTGGGGGCGGTAGCTTTACGACTCTCCGTCGAGGTGGGTCGTCTATCTTAGGCCAGGCTCGTTGAGGATTATCGTTTGGGCGGCGGCTCTATCTTAGGCCGGGCTCGTTGAGGAACAATGTGGGGGCGGCGGCTCTATCTTAGGCCGGGGCTGTTGAGGATCATCGTGAAGTGGCGGCTCTATCTTAGGCCGGGGCTGTTGAGGAACAACGCCTACGACGAGCATACGTTCGGACTGGAGCATACGTCCGGGGGAGGGCGAATACGTTCAAAGAACTACGTTCGGCTTGCGCCACGATTACCTGTGGCCGGGGCTTGTTGAGGAACAAGGGGGTTTGTGTCATAAAGGAGATCGTTTTTGACAGCCCAGGCGTAAGGTAGACGCTCAAATATACGGATGCTCAACGAGCCTGGCTTCAGATAGACGCTCAATTTACCGATGCTCGACAGCCCAGGCATAAGGTAGACGTAAAACTATACGTTTGTTCCCGACAGCCCCGGCATCAGGTAGACGCTCAACTATACCGGACGCGAACCGAGCCAGGCGGCGGCCGAAGGCCGCCGCTCAACAGCCCAGGCATAAGGTAGACGCTCAATTTACCGACGCTCGACAGCCCAGGCATAAGGTAGACGTAAAACTATACGCTTGTTCTCGACAGCCCCGGCATAAGGATAGACGCTCAACTTTACCGGACGCGAACCGAGCCAGGCGGCGGCCGAAGGCCGCCGCTCGACAGCCCAGGCATAAGGTAGACGCTCAATTTACCGACGCTCGACCAGCCCAGGCATAAGGTAGACGTAAAACTATACGCTTGTTCTCGACAGCCCAGGCATAAGGATAGACGCTCAACTTTACCGGACGCTCGACGAGCCAGGCGGCGGCCGAAGGCCGCCGCTCAACAGCCCAGGCATGGGGATCCTCAGA